TTTTATCTCTCGGTGTATCGTGGTGGTCGTTTAAATATCTTGCAGGCTTATCTAAAAGCTTTGTTAATTATTCTGAATTCTACTTTAAACTTGACAGCAACATGCTTCTGCCAGTCCCACCAATTCCTTATGCTCGTTGGCACATTTTCATGGGTTACTCCTAGAGGTTCTCCTATTTAGTCAGAATCAAATTTTTAAGTTTTCCAATCATACACTCTTAGCCCTCGTCGACTTATGGGGCGTTTTTAAATATTTTCTAAGGTCATTCTTAGAGCTGTAATGTTCATTTTAAAGCACTTCGTTCAATCTTTGTTCACTTGTGATGCTGTTTTTAGACATAATTGCGGGCCACCCTCAAAGCTCCCTGTTTATTCTGAATCAAACACCTCTTCTAAACCCCAAAGAGTTATAAAGTTATTACGCAGTTCTATACATTTGAGGTCCACATATCATATCTTCGTCACAATTAGCTTTTGAAACACTGCAGCAACAAAGCACTTAAGAAATGGAAAGATAGAAAACAGCCAAAGTTTCGTGCATCAGAAATGATTCTTACTCCAACAACAAATTAACAAAATACAATTTACGGACAACAGCTAATCTATATAACTTTAGTCCTTTTCTCCACAGTCAAGAATCACGTCTGGGTCATAATTATTGCTTGAAACGATCTTTGATCTAGATGAAGAACATCACAAATAATTAAGATGTTATTCCATGGTTAATGAAAGCACTTTTTAAGGAAATCCATAGTCATAATGCTTTGTAAAAATTTCAGAAAAAAAGGTTCGCCCCGAGGGTTTAGCCACCCCTTTATGCGACCGGCTTTTAGTGAAATTTCATCAAACTAAGCATAAAATCATTTGAACTTGTTCTTGTGAAGCGAGCAATACAGCAAATCCATCTTCCTTGAAGGACAAAACTACGAAGAGGTAAAACATTAAGAGAAAGGCGTTCGTGGCGGGTCTAGCGACTCCTTTTAGCAACCGGTTTTTAGTGTAATTTCACCCAAATAAGCATAAAGTCATTTGAAATGGTTTCTAGAATAATTGTCACTCAAGAGGCAGGCAAATCCCATCTCATTCTCAGTGGGAAAATCTCACAAAAAGTGAAATTTTAATAGAAAAATACTCACTTGTTGAACCAAAAAGTCAGCGAATCCGATCGTTTATCTATAAAAAAGGAAGGCGGTTAGAAAAAAGTTGCTGCAAAGGATTCTCGATAGGCATAAAAAGTTGGGGCCATAGGGTGCCCGCAGAGCGGGATTTACTGGGAGTTACTCTTCCGTTTATTAAAATGTGCATATCAATTTGATACATAAACGGTTGCAATATCAAGACAATGCAGAAAGTTGCTTCAATACATTTTGTAAGCCACGATCTAATTGGGGTCCTCGTTTAAATACTTTCACGGGTTACCCTCTTTATTTCTACTGCTTATTCTAATTGCAATGTTTTAAAGTTTGCATCTTCTTTTATCTCTCGGTGAATCGTGGTGCTCGTTTAAATATCTTGCAGGCTTATCTAAAAGCTTTGTTTAATATTCTGAATTCTACTTTAAACTTGACAGCTACATACTTCTGCCAGCCCCCATCATTTTCATGAGTTAATCCTATAATTTCTCCTATTTAGTCATAAACAAATTTTTGAGTTTTCCAATCATACATTCTTAGCCCTCGTCGACTTATAGGGCGCTTGAAAATATTTTCTAAGGCCATTCTTAAAGCTGTAATGCTCATTTTGAATCCAACATGAATATCTTTATCAGAGCATTTCGTTCAATTCTTGTTCACTTGTGATGCTGTTTTAAGGTATAATTTGGGGCCACCTTTAAACTTCCTCTGTTTATTTTGAATCAAACATTAAAGTTTTCCAACAATAAATTCCTGTTAGCCGTTATTGGTCCATGGTGCTCGTTTAGATATATATCATCTAAAAATTTCTTAAGAATTAATGACTCCTCTTCTAAACTCCAAAGAGTTATAGAGTTATTACGCAGTTCTATACATTTGAGGTCCACATATCACATCTTCGTCACAATTAGCTTTTGAAACACTGCAGGAACAAAGCAGTTAAGAAATAGAAAGATAAAAAACAGCCAAGTTTCGTGCATCAGAAAGGAATCTTACTCTAACAACAAATTAACAAAATACAATTTACGGACAACAGCTAATCTATATTATACAACTTTAGTCCTTTTCTCCACAGTCAAGTTTTTTCTTGTTTCATCGTTTGATTTAACGCCAGCATAAATGCCATAAATTTCGTTTCGAAGGTCCGAGAATCACGTCTGCGTCGTAATTATTGCTTGAAACGCTCTTTGATCTAGATGAAGAACAAAAAGATTAATGAAGATGTTATTCCATGGTTAATGAAAGCACGTTTCAAAGAAATCGATATACAGCCAATCCATATTCTTATAAGCAGAAAACTACGCGAGGTAAAAAATTCAGAGAAACACGTTCGTGGCGGGTCTAGCGACTCCTTTCAGCAACCGGTTTTTAGTGTAATTTCACCCAAATAAGCATAAAGTCATTTGAAATGGTTTCTAGAATGATTAATTTACAATTCCGAAAATGATGCAGGCACAATCTACCGTAACAATCCAGCTTCCTTTCAGTACAAAACCACGAAATGAGGTAGAAATTCGCCGTTCGCGGCGGGGGTATAGCAGTAAGCAACCGGTTTTTAGTGTAATTTCATCAATTAAGCATAAAGTCATTTGAAATGGTTTCTAGGATGATTTTTTTACAATTCCAAAAATGCTCTCAAAAAGCTAGAAATAATTTTCACTCAAGAGGCAGGCAAATCCCATTTTTTTCAGCGGGAAAATCGCACAAAAAGTGAAATTTTAATCGAAAAACACCCACTTGTTGTACCAAAAAGACAGCGAATCCGATCGTTTATCTACAAAAAAGGAAGGCGGTTAGGAAAAATTGCTGCAAAGGATTCTCGTTAGACATAAAAAGTTGGGGGCTGGCGGGATTACAAAATTCGCATTACAACGGGTTTCCTATGAAAATCAAATTTTCTTGCATCAAGAATAAACAGCAGGAATAATCTACCACAATTCTTCATACTCTGATTGCAATAAAGCCAATCCAGTTTCCTTTTAGCACAAAACCACGAGAAGAGGTAAACATTTTTCGTTCGCGGCGGGGTTCTAGCAGCCGGTTTTTAGTGCAATTTTATCCAAATGAGCAGAAAATCATGTCAAATATTTTAAATTTCGAAAACACGTAAGAACAACAACGCTTACTTGTATTCACATGCCATCGATTCTGATGCCAGTGAAGAAGAAGCACAGCCAGCAGCAATCGCAAAACCAAAATACGGGCAGCAGCGGGTGTACCGTACGTAGCTACTAAAACGAAAAAAAAGGAAGATCGTCAAAACCATAAATTACATGGCTCTTGCAAATGAAATAGCAACAAACGGGGTATCAATCGATAAAAAGGAAAGGAAAATAGCTAGCGAGACTCACCTGTAGCACTGTAGCACTGTAGCACCGTAGCACTGTAGCACTGTAGCACTGTAGAACACGACCGTCGACAACCGCTTCGAGTTCGAAAAGGAATGCCAACCAGCAGTGCACGTAGATTTATTATCATCCAATTCATCCAAATCACCGAAATTATCGGCAAACAGTAGCTTCTTTGTGTTAAAAACGAAACGGATTTGAAAAGCCTCCGTTGAAATTGAAGGGTTGCTGGAGGAAGAAGTTTTGAAATCTTTTGTAGTAGAGAGCAAGAGATATGAGAGAGAAAGGACCTTTAGAAAGGCGGGACAAAGACCTCGGAGAGCACTAATCGAGATCTAGAGGATTTCGAACGAACCCGGGAGAAAACGTACAAATATCTATAAAAAAGGGAGGAAAAACGAAAAAAGAAACCCCACGAGCACAAGTTTGAGGATCCAGGACGACGTGGAAAAAAGAATTTGGAAAATCGGCCGAGCGGTTTTGGCTGGTAATCTTCTCCAAGATCGGGCGGTGTCGTTTGAACCGCTATACGATTTTGACCCAGGGATCTGCTGGAGCATTGTGTTGGGCCTTTGTTGTCGAGGAGAATAGAGTTCATTTGCATATCCGCACATTAGTATTAGTTAGATGATAACAACAAGAAAAGATTAATTGAACAGTAGTACCCTATCTACTAAAGCTACGGGAAGTAGCCTGTTGGTAGGACGTAAACCAGTAAATTACAACGATACTGTGAATAAGAATACAAAATAATAATAACAATAATAATGTCTTGGGTATGACTTTATTATTATTGTCCTGGGTATTCTTCGTCCTGGGTAATAATAATAATAAATATGGTCCTGGGTGTAACTTTAAATTGCATCCGGTTGTGGAGCTTCGATGTGGGCGAATAAAGTTACCCTTTGCCACAACTACCTCCAGGTCACCGTTGACCACAGCGTAGCACCTGTTAGCTCTCCCCGAGGCCATGAAATACCGGGTTGGCGTCCGGCGGGGACTAGTCTGTCTCATGGGTAGGGGGGACTCTTCAGCCTTGGTTGGCAACCCCCCTAGTGATGGTGTCACGTTAAATTAAAAACACCCGAGGGAAGGAAAACCCGGACAAAAGCAACCTCATTGTGAGTGTAAATATCTAATGATAACTCATCAATCAATAATGTGAATGGCACTGGAATCAATAATGATGAAGGTGCCTCGTTTGGCAGGTGTCCTGTGGAGGAGCAGCGCAGGCCCGGTCGTCATCAAGCAACTGCCAGACAGAAATGGAGTAAGACCATTAATAGATTGGTAATGTATTGTAAATTCAAAAGTGAACCTAACAGAAGGGGACATCGAAAGAGAATGTTGGAAATATGGAGAGAAAGAGATGTTTGAGATTAGTGAACAGAAATTGCAAATCTTTACATTGTGATTATTGTGAACCTTTTCGGCAAGGTGCTGCATCTGAACAATAGAAGAGTTTTGTAAGCAAGCTGTTCTTCTTTCTTTGTAAACAATAGCGGGACAAGAGGCATGACTGGGCTTTTGAAAACACTCTAATGGCGTTCTATTAAATTGGTGCCTGAGCCAATATCGCTAAAGAAACACTATTTCGTACAAATATTCTCGAACTGCAGAGAATGGGCACACAGAATGCTTCCCTCAAAGCCTTTTGCAATGACTATTTGAAACAGATTTTCGCTGACCCGATAAAGATAGAACGTTGAACGAGCCAGGGCAGTGTTAAATGAAATAAATGTACAGAGCGCTAATCCAAGTTTTATCCTAAAGGAGCTGCTTTTGCTTGCATTTTCAAATTCTTGAGACATAAACTGAAATTAAGTCCAATATCACTGCCTTCGTACTTTTTAAAAGGAAACGCAAAGTGACGCACTAGATATGAGCATTCAGCTTAACATCAATCGCAATTAAGAAACAAAATAAAATGACATCCGATAAACCGACACGAATCGCCTCTACCGAGCCGTGCGAATTTCACAACGGACGCATAACAATAGCGCCGAATGTTGAAACAATTGTCCCTTCATACGTCACAAGGTACTTTTTCCGAAAAAAAATTTTGTCGTATTTTTATGGTGATTCTCATCTTTGCGCGTCTATATCTGGAAAACGAGTAAAGATTTTCGAAAAAAAATTCACGATACCACCAATTTATGCAAAAATCTCAGAAAATTTTTTTGGGCTGGAGTGGCCCTTTAAACTGTTTTGGAAAAACAGAGTGGCAAGGAGAGGGAACCAAGACTAGTTGAGTATCCTAGTTTTTCTGACCACGCCTATATTGAACACTTTAAAGGTATTGAGTCATGGGAAATAGGAAGAGTATACCAAAATTGCAAAAAATTGCTGAGTCATTATGATAGCTTCGCTAACCTGATTGGCTGTCAAGCAAACTGCACACACGATGTTGTAAGTGCTCTTTGTTCCGCCGTTTCTAAAGGTTTTTTCTTTCTCTCTTTTTTCTCTTGCTCTCTACAATAGATTTCAAAACCTCTTCCCCCATTTGTACCTTTCAAATGCCACAAAGGCTTTCAAATGCCTTTCGCTTTCGACAAAGATATCTGATCACATGAAAACAAACTTATCACATGAAAACAGACAAACCCCCTCGCGGAGAACCAGTGTTTACCATCTTCTTGGCCAAAGTAAGTTGACGACTGTTCCCTCAGGCTGTTTGAGGATAGATAACTATACACTTAATTGTAGGCACAAATACGATAAAAGGCAAGTCATTTCGATTACATATCATTTAAAAATATCCAATTATTTACCCCGAAGAGCTAAACTTTTAAAATTTCAAAATTCTGAAAAAAGGTTGTTAACAGTGATTACATCTGATATAAAAATATTTTAACATCAGAGCACTTTAAAAATAAAAGCGAACAGAACAACTGAACAAGTAACTAAACAAAACTATTTTCTCTATTTTAAGTGTAAAATAGTCTCACTATCAGGATAAAACCCCACTTTCTGATATTAAATGATTCAAGATACGTCAAAGTTAAAGTTCTTGCTGATTACAAGTTGTCTCTTTTTCAACAATGCGTGTTGAACTTTCTTCCACCTGCAAAATAAAGCAGAACATATCAATTTAGGGAAAACTAGGTTTCGCATTCATACAGGAGAAAATTGCTGAGTAAATAATGGAAGTAAGCAATTTGAGACGAGGATACCAAAGCAACCAAGCAAAGAACTTATCAAGGAAGGTTCTGGCTCTATAGGTTGAATCACTGACGCCAATAGCTTCTCCTATAGCTACACTTGTATTTTATGTAAGTACTAGAAATCGAGGTTCAGGCTGGCTGTTGGAATTGGCTTTTCGCTAATATTGTTCCAAAACACTGAGGCTAAACTTGTAATTAAAGATTTAAGACTAGAAAAAGGTTTTCGCTAGTCAACGTCGAGATTTGCAAGCAAAATACTGTACACACAAATTGGTACACACTGTATATGCATACTGTACACACATATTGGTACACACTGTATATGCATACTGTACACACATATTGGTACACACTGTCTATGCATACTGTACACACATATTGGTACACACTCTATATGCATACTGTTCACACATATTGGTACACACTGTATATGTATACTGTACAAACATATTGGTACACACTCTATATGCATACTGTTCACACATATTGGTACACACTGTATATGTATACTGTACAAACATATTGGTACACACTCTATATGCATACTGTTCACACATATTGGTACACACTGTATATGTATACTGTACAAACATATTGGTACACACTGTATAGGCATACTGTTCACACATATTGGTACACACTGTATAGGCATACTGTTCACACA